AGTCACGATCCCATCTCTCACTCATATGTCCTACGAAATGTATTAAAGTATCTAACCCAAGTCCTCATTCACGTACACCTAGTACAACAATTGCGATGGTGCGACCTGGCCTTTGCAGGACCCGAATACAATCAGCGTCCCCTCCTCAATCATCTGACAAAGAAGACAGCTTACCCAGTATTACTACCACCGTACGGCGACGCAGACCAGCCAAGAATCAGTCTCAACCAGGCCAAAAAAAACCCACCAGGAAGCGAGCACGAGTCGATGACGAAGACCATGAAGAAGATGAAGATGATAACAAAAACGTTACTGATGAACAAGAGGACCCCGACTTGGCGGTTACGCCAAACATGAGCAACTATCGTGAACTCGGCATGCAGTGGGGTCTGGCGCGAGCTGAAAAATACCTAGGTGACCTAAACATCCCCAAAAACAACCGACCATCCGGCACAGGCCTTTACGAGGCACAATCTCTTCAATCGTCATACGAGATAGACAAGACAATGCTATGCATTTTCTTGAAGGTCAGCCAAAGAGTCATCAATGAAGCTCTGTGAGTATGGGATTCTCATGGAATTGACCAATGTTTTGAAACTCTCCATGACTCTGATTTGCCTTTTCACGCCCCACCAGATTAGAAGGCCCATTGGCACGCGAACCCAACATGTATACCAATTATCAAACCTACAGTACCGTTGCCACATCATCACCAAGTAAGTCAACTTGAAAATGTGTCGCATTCTACTGTTAAGACTATTAAACTCACCAAGGCGTCGCTTCCCAACGTAGTGCCACCCAAGAGAGTCTCCAAAGGGTTCCGTGAACATAACCGGATTGTCGGCTCCACGTGGTCAACATACATTGACGAAGAACAAGAAATTTTTACGCCTTGACTTTTTGAACGTCTCTGCGTAGCCACCAGTGAAGCATATGCACTTACTCAAACACCGCTCGGCATTACTTCCTCCGTTGCTGCCCAAGACCCACCGAAAACATCTACAGGGACCTCGACTTCTGGCCTTCAACCACTTACCCAGGAAGAAGTCGAAAAATTTGTACCAGTCTTTGAGCGTTTGGTCAACCTCAAGAAAGTTTCACAGGACCTCCACCAGGGTAGGCTTTGGAGACACAGCGGGAAGTCAAATAACCGGTCTTCTGAGTGGCTGATGAAGCACGAAATTGGCAAGGTTTCCCGTCAGGCAAGTTAACAAGTTGCCTTTTACCGCCAATCCCGATACTTACCACACTGGAACCATCTAGCTTTGCGTACTGCAAACCCATTTCAGCTTACAGTTTCACCTCATGGTTGCCTGTTTGAACCCGGCAACCTCGACCTCTAAAGCCCTATTCCAGGACGAGTACACCTCATGTGAACGGTGGGTTCACATGCAGAAGAAAACTCACCTTTTGGAGCGATTCACCTTTGAATCCACCAAGGCGCCACAACATCTCCGTGTCAAAAGTGGTGAACCCAAGCCTCAATCAGCATCTGCCGCCCGACAAGCCGAAAAACGATCGGAGCTATCGAAGGCCCTCAATGATTTGATAGGTCAGACTCACTCCGACCGTTATCTAGCCTGACTCACCATACTGAGCAATCTCATTTCAACAAGCAGCTCCCTACCTCCGGAAGGGGTATCTGGGAAAAGGTGATGCCCACCCCAAGTGTCCAAACTTGAGGGAAGCCTTCGACAAAAAAACTTTCCGAGGCGATCTGGCACTCACTTTTAGTTGTGCCCCCAATAGCCAGGTCACCGATTTGATGCTTTCCAAGGGTCCCAGCTGTCTCACGAATGACGAAGTGGACGCCTGGATAGATGATAATGAGTCCAAAAAATACACTATTATTCGCGTGGACAAGCCCAAGAAAAACAAGAAGGACCACGTGGACGATTGCCATTCCAACTCATCAACGTCTGACTCGATTTCCCAATTAGTCAAGAAACGTGAAAATACCCCCAAAGAGGATATGGATAGGGATTCAGCGTCTTCAAAGTGTAACCCAAGTCTAGATGTTGCTGATGCGGAAATCCTGGCGGAGCTGACTGCCGGAGCTGGGTAGGCGTTGATGAGACCTTTCCATCATCTATGTGGGCCACCAATGACTTGCTATTGAAACCATGAAGTCACACCTCAGCTGACCGCCCTCTTCTTCTCAACCTGTTAACAGTTCCCTACAACAGTAAATAATTAAGGTGGAAAGCTTAGATGGGCGGTTTCAATAAAATTGATTTTCTATCATCTGTTTCAACGTAAATGCCAAACAAACGACGGCCATCTTATGAAATTGTTTCTCAAAAAAAAATGATTGTGGATAATATGAATGATGACACACGTTTTAGTCAAAGGATGATGTACTACAATATTGAAGAATTCAATAAAATTGATTTTCTATCATCTGTTTCAACGTAAATGCCAAACAAACGACGGCCATCTTATGAAATTGTTTCTCAAAAAAAAAATGATTGTGGATAATATGAATGATGACACACGTTTTAGTCTAAGGATGATGTACTACAATATTGAAGAATTAAGCATATCAGGTTACTGAATTGCCATTCCTACAAGAGTATATTAATCACCCGTATTGCATCATACGGTGTATTAATTATTTGATATCACCATCAAACATTCTATAAGATCATAAAACAATGTTCAAAGCAGCATATCCCTTCGATATGCTTACCAAAATAATCTCGATTCTGACAAGTCAAGATGATTATGAGACTGAAGTATGTAATTTTGTTTTCTGGTATGGTTATTGCTATGGCCGAAGCGCGGATTCAATAATTAGTGATCATTACCCGTGGACCGTGCTCCAGGTAATTATGGCTTTATATGTATGCGATGGTGCGTAGCAGCAATCACAGGTCATCTTACCTGGGTGACATGTTAAAAAAAATGTCACATATGTGTTAGGGGTAGGTCACTTACACATAAGGATAAGTGACCTACCTTAAGAGGTTTGGTTCGCAGGGTAAAATCCAAATTTCTTCTCAATTAAAACTCCTTCCACGTCAGACATACATCCCATCATCCCACTTCCACCTCCGATACGTTATCAACAACCGCCGGTCGACCAACATTCAGCAACAGACAAGATAACTCATCATTCCATATTTGGTTCTCCACGCAACACTATTTTTCAATCCCCGCCTACCGTTTGACAGTAAGTTTGAGTCATTGACCTTTGGTCTCACTTGCCTTCAATACCTCCAACCTTACGTTTGAACTAACTATGTACGTTCTTACTTCGGTAGTTCCCCAGATATACAACCTCACTCTTCCAGGAAACCATCTGTTTATTCCCAAATACCGTAATCTGTTTTTGATATATTTCGATCTCTATCACGTATTTCGTTTTCAATTTTTTCGTTTTCTCATCTTTCACCTCATGAAGCAATGAGACACCTATAAGCGAAGGAGTGGGTTTGCGCAGGATGGCATAGATAGCCTCTGCATAACTTGAAATACATCCTGCATCCCCACTCATCCACTCTTTGCTTGCTAGGTCTTCCTCAATTGCGGATGTCTTTCCTATTCGTCTTTCTGATTCGTCTTTGTCCAATCGCCTGAACTGACTGACCATGTATGCCCTTACTTCTGTAGTTGTCTTACGAACTGACGATTGCCAATTTCAATAACCATATTTTGTTTTCCTTTTTTATTTGTTTTTTCGTTTTCTCATCTTTCACCTCATGAAGCAATGAGACACCTATAAGCGAAGGAGTGGGTTTGCGCAGGATGGCATAGATAGCCTCTGCATAACTTGAAATACATCCTGCATTCCCACTCATCCACTCCTCGCTTGCTCGGTCATCCTTTGATTTGTGTTTCCCTTATTTTTATTTGTTCTTATCCACACATTTTAACTGTACTGATATTACCGTACTCTTTATATCATCATAAGGTACTACGATGACCGACTTGGACCCTGGTTGGACTAAGCACAAGAGGGCGACATTCAATACCAGTGGAAAGTGGGTGCTAACGTTTCAATGGCTATGTCTACATTTCAACACACTGACACAAGTTGACATTACCACCAACGTTTACAGGAAGTCCAAAAGCGAAGATGAGAATATTACCTTACCTGGTGTTCAATTCCTATCGGACCTTTTAAAAGATATCGACGTCCAGAGACAGACTGGATATACAGACGCTGATGTAAGTCACATGGAGCCTACCTTATCCCGGCCAGAAAATTACCCAATAGGTTTGATACGAATTTCCTGCCTCTGATCAATTCCACAGCTTCCAAAGCCATTTCGAATGGCGAAATCTTATTCACATGTACCTCATGAATACCTGGCCCCTGATGGATTCCCTAAGTCTGAATATTGGCTTGATCCGGCATGCAAGTATGCTTTAGTAAGCAAAGTTAATCCGAAGGAAGGGAAAGGCGGAGTGGTGTGAGTCCAAATGCGAATCTTACCTGTTTAAACCCTATCTTGCTGACCTCATGGTGTATGGAATGGCTATCCATAGGCGAAGAGCACTGGACGAGTATCGCAATCAACATGTTGTTGATGTCCCTCCTAACCCACCTCTTTACATGGAAAAAATTAGACAAAAACCGGGGACGTACGTATAATTGCCTTTCCCTCTTTCCCATTGTCTATACATACACATTAACTCTTTTACGTGACCTAAAATATTTAGCTGTCATGCCGAACGCGCCAAGAAGAATATTGCAGCCAAAGGCACCGACCAGTCGGCTGAGTCAGCTAACCGCAAAAAAAAAACTTATGACAGCCTGCGCTATAGGGTTAATGACCCGATTCTACCATATGAAAATTATGAACGTACCATGGAAATAATTCATCATACCTATAAAATTATTACCCATGGAAAAGGCCAATACCTCGATCTAGATTCACATGAACTTATCTTTACTTACTCCTATGACGCTTTGGAAACCTTGACACCGGAAGACCGCCAGGAGCATCAAGACGATGTCACAACAATCTTAATGTCCACTAAGCTCTTCAAGAGATTACCTACGCCTAAACCTTTGACTCCTCCGACCGAACTGCCGACGGTATGATTGGTAGATCGCCCTCTTCCTCATGGTGAGCGCTATGGTTCATAGCTTACATACCACCTGCAACCACTAAAGTAATGCTGATGGAGTATCACTTTAGAAACGTCTATCACGGCCCCTTTGATTACCCAATTGCCTTACAAATCCGATTTGCCATCGTCACCGCTTACATCACTTCCTCCGTCCGATGCCGGAGGTAATGACAATGTAGAAGATTCCAATTTTGAACCGAACCAATCTACCGATCTGAATACTTATCGGTCATCATCTCCTCTAACTTCGCTTCCGCCTTCTGACGCAGAAGAGGAGGTTGCACGACGCACAAGGAAGCGTAAGGGTCAGCCGCTTTCAACGCGTAATTGTGATTCGAAGAACAAGAAAGTCAAACTTATTAATCAGGAGGTAATGATTGGAGAGTCCGGATTGTTTTTGAAGAAGCGCAAGCGCAAGGTTACAACCAATGCCGCTCTAATCCATGGAAGGATGCACTGTTTTGGTCAAACAGTGGGATATTCAAATGACCTCCTCACTTCGGCTTACGTTCCGCCCAAAGGTTCATCACACTCGCTATATAAGGCCTTTCTGGATAGGCTCCCAGTCTTAGGCGCTCACATAGGAGGAATATTTAAAGAATTTTGTGATGAAGGCTTCTTGGTGGCTCGTCAGCAACTGAACCAACTTCGTGCGCCTCCAATGGCTTCAACCTCGAAGTCTCACCCATCAGGACCACTAGATTTTGTGGCGAACTTTGCTTTTACCTTTGAGAACTTTTACAACAAGCCGCATACCGATAACAATAAGGGCAAGGTTTACTGCCTATGGTACCCGATTGACATGTTGAGTGGTCGAATTGTTACACAATCTGAAGGGTTCGAACTTGAAGGAGGTTGGTTTATTTTCCCTGAGTTCCGTGTGGCTATCAACTTTGGTGGGAAATCCGCAGCGCAGATTGCATGGAATGGCAAATCGACTTTTCATCATACTATCCCTTCCAAAGAACGAATAGAGTTTAACCATCAAGGTGAGAAAGTCCATTACACACGTCTTGGGTGTTCATCCCAAATTACTTATAAGATAGCACGAGCCAGTGTGAAGATTGGAACGGAGGAACAGTATAACTTTACTTCAAACTGTGAGCGCAAAGTCAGGGATGTGGAGGATATTCTAGAGCTACCTGATAGAAATTGGAAGAAATGATAACTTGATGAAACAAGTCTTTGTGCTAATAACTTGATGAAATAAATCTTTGGCCTATTGATTTGTAATATGTCTGGTTTTCTCTAAACTGATCACACTGCCAAAAAAAATTGTCTCATGTTTTCCGAGTGTATAATCCTGCCTGTGCAAGCTTCAGCGGATGTTTACACTATGTTGTAAATATCTCATGAACAACAGCATGAGTGTTACTGAAGCACTTAGGCTGATTGGTAGCTGTTGTTATGGTTCGCTAAGAGGTTCATCAGCTGGATTTCTGCAGCATGTGATTAACATACCCTGATAATTAAATCAAGAATCTAAGTGTATATACAGTCAGAAGATGTATGATCACAGTCAGCGCTTCCCCTTTGACTGGTAAATATGATTGGTATTTGTTCAACACTTTGGACATTATCCAAAACCTTCTATATATATTTTTACCGCTGAACAACTTTTGCAAAATGTTGGGCAACACTTGTTCAGCATACTATCTGCCAGTCGGGAAAATATATGGCCAAATCATCTGGAATCACGGCCATATCAGCAACCAAGACCCAACCTAGTCATGGAGTGTTGGATCAAATCATCACTTGGTTAATGTTTTGTGCACTACTAACTAAGTGAAGTCATTTGCGATACTCAGAACCAACCTACCTGTAAGGTGTAACTTGATATGGCCCAGACATCACTTATTACAGCCATATGTGCCAAAACTTGACAAGCCCAACACTCATGGTGTGTTAGGCCACCTCTTGCCTTGGATGCTGTTTAGTTTACAACTAATCATGGGTGTCAAAATCTTTTGCAAAACTCAGGACCTTGATATCTTCCAGGCGTAAAAAGATATGGGGAAAAATCTCTAATTACGTGGCACTTATATGTGCCAAAACTTGACAAGCCCAACACTCATGGTGTGTTGGGCCACCTCTTGCCTTGGTTGCTGTTATGTTGACTACTAATCATGGGTGTCAAATTCATTTGCAACCCTCAGAACGCACATATCTGCCAGGCGTAAAAAGATATGGGGAAAAATCCCTAATTACGTGGCACTTGGCCCATATGTGCCAAAACTTGACAAGCCCAACACTCATGGAGTAGTGGGTCACCTTGCGCCTTGGCTGCTGTTATGTTTGCTACTCATCATGAGTGGTAAATTCATTTGCAACCCTCAGAACACTCATATCTGCCAGGCGTAAAAAGATATGGGGAAAAATCCCTAATTACGTGGCACTTGGCCCATATGTGCCAAAACTTGACAAGCCCAACACTCATGGAGTGGTGGGCCACCTTGTGCCTTGGTTGCTGTTATGTTTACATCTAATCATGGGTGTCAACATCATTTGAAACACTCAGAACACTCATCTCTGCCAGGCGTAAAAAGATATAGGGAAAAATCTCTAATGCCGTGGCACTTGGCCCATATGTGCCAAAACTTGACAAGCCCAACACTCATGGAGTGGTGGGTCACCTTGTGCCTTGGTTGCTGTTATGTTTACAACTAATCATGGGTGTCAAAGTCATTTGCAACACTCAGAACACTCATCTCTGCCAGGCGTAAAAAGATATGGGCAAAAATCTCTAATTACGTGGCACTTGGCCCATATGTGCCAAAACTTGACAAGCCCAACACTCAGGGAGTGGTGGGTCGCCTTGTGCCTTGGTTGCTGTTATGTTTACAACTAATCATGGGTGGCAAAATCATTTGCAACCCTCAGAACACTCACCTCTGCCACGTAATTAGCGATATGGGCAAAAATCTCTAATTACGTGGCACTTGGCCCATATGTGCCAAAACTTGAAAAGCCCAACACTCATGGAGTGGTGGGTCACCTTGTGCCTTGGTTGCTGTTATGTTTACTACTAATCATGGGTGGCAAAATCATTTGCAACCCTCAGAACACTTATGCATAAGTCACCAATGCTCTATCAATGTCTATCAATGTATTGCCAAGGTACGGAATGCGAGACGTTCCAAAGTGACAATGCAAAATTTCAAAAATCAAAAATCACAATCCCCGGGTGCAAAATTCAAAAATCAAAGACAAAACTACAGAAAATACTCAAATACAGGGATAAAACCCCTGTACTGGGGTAAAAGTCATGGCAGAAACCCCTTTTTGCCCAAATTTCCAGTGGTCAACACTGTTTTCATTGCATTGTCACCTTTTGACAAAAAGTACCAGCAACACCAAAAATCAAAAAATCAAAAAACCAAAAACCAAAAACCAAAAACCAAAAAATACATTTCTCAAACTGTACAATTCAAACACCAATGTTGGATTCTACTGCAGCCAAAAACCACATGTTGGCCAACTAGCTACAAGCTCGGTCTCACAGGTATCAACACCTCCGATCGGAGACATTCTACCATCAGTCTCAAGAGCTTCAAAGTACCTGCTTCCTGTCTCGCTCTCCTCCAAAACCTCTTTCATCATTATCAATCCTCTTCGATTGTCCTTGATCTTCCTCAATACCTGTCAACTGTCCTCGATCTTCTTCTTTCTTCGTCGACCGTCCTTGAACTTCTTCTTTCTTCATCAACCGTCGTCAATCTTCTTATTTCTTTGTCAACTGTCCTTGATCTTCCTCAATCTTTGTCAACCGTCCTTGATCTTCTTTGACCGTCCTCAATCTTCTTTGATTATCCTGAATCTTCTTCGACCGTCCTCAATCTTCTGCAATCCTCATCAAATCACCTTCTGTCTCCATCACCAACTACACACCAACATGCCAGCAAAAATATCTGATGAATGAGTCTGTTTCAATTTTTTTTTCATTAACAAAAGGAAAAAAAAACAGTTGGGATGATGAGTATCTCAACCAAAAAAATTTCAAACACATCTTACTCAAACCAATCCATAATATAATTTTGTTTTCATTAACAAAAGAATACATAAATTGAGTATATTACCAAAATATACTACCAAACAATGCTTTCAATCATATTTTGATGCAACTCTTCCAGTATATATTTATTTCTTTAACAATAGGCAGACAATTGTTTCAATATGTAGTTTTTTTTTGTTAACAAAAGCCAAAAATATTGGACAAACCTTTCAAACATGTTGTAATTGAAATGTTGCAATATATATTTTATATATGTATATCAATACATATATAAAAATGGATGAGTAATTAAACCGATCATTCCTTTCAAACAAATTCACCACCAACATATTTACCTCGGATTACAAAATCCAAGGTATCCTCGGATGCAAAACCTCAGACAGAAGCTTCCCGAGGTTTTGATCCGAGGTAATTCTCAGGGCAAAGAAATACCTTGGGCAAAAACCTCGGACAAGGTCTGTCCAAGGATTTGCCTCCGATGATGCCTTGGATTTCTCAACCCAAGGCATCTATGCTGGCAGTGATTGTACCAATGCGTTTCAATGTACATATTTATGATATTTTGATTTTAACGGTAAAAAAAATTCATTTCCCTATAAAACTATAAGTTTCATCTTATTTAATTCCGAAAAGAAAATCCATCTTATTTAATTCCGAAAAGAAATTTTTTTTGAATCAGATATATAAATTCAATTTTTTTTATTTGAATTATAATTTTGAAAAAGAAATTAAGAAAAAAAAATATGCGGATGTTCCAGCCAGAAAGGCCACCTACCTGAGCTGCTAGGTGGTCTGGCTGGAACATCCAGGCCACCTAGCTAGGTGGCCTTACCTTAAAAGTAAGGCCACCTAGGAATTAGGTGGCCGTGCCATCGCACTATCACTCAGTTATAGTGCGATGGCATTGCGGATCGGTCCAGGGCCGAGCTGCGGTCTCGGCCCTGGATTCCTCCATTGCACGATCACTGAGTGATTGTGCGATGGAGGGCCACCTAATTCCTAGGTGGCCTTATCCTAAAAGTAAGCCACCTAGCAACAACTCCCGTAGAGCGGACTGGTCCAGGG